CGATGCAAGGTGATGAGAACTCTGCATTATTAGAAGTGACATTTGATAGCAGATAAAATTTTCCCAACTGCACGAGAAAATTTCCTCAACAAAGCAGCGTTGTGCAGTTGGAAAACTCTTATCTGCTATCAACATTAACCATGAGTAATCCACACACTCTCTCTGTGTGCTACTTCAGATTCCCAAAGCTCTACATTGATGGGCCATATGGCGCACCAGCTCAAGACTACAAGAAGTACGACATTCTTTTGCTCATCGGATTAGGAATCGGTGCAACTCCATTCATCAGCATCCTGAAGGATCTCCTCAACAACATAAAGTCCAACGAAGTATATACCACATTCGCAGACATCGACATGCACTTGCATGCACTGTTGGTTGACAAGCTCAAAACTCATGCAGGAAACACACGACGCAGCTGCAAACTTCATCCAAGGAAATGGCCCTGGAAGAGCTTACTTCTACTGGGTGACCAGGGAACAAGGATCATTTGAATGGTTCAAAGGTGTCATGAACGAAGTTGCAGAGAGTGACCACCATGTACTAATTAAGCATCACTGCTTCCTTGAATCCATTTCGCACAGAACCACAATTGACAGGAAATGGTTGGATTTGCAGAATGTCATAGAGATGCACAACTACTTGACGAGCGTGTACGAAGAAGGTGATGCAAGGTCAGCCCTCATCGCCATGATTCAGTCACTGCAGCACTCCAAAAGTGGCGTTGACATCGTCTCTGGGAGTCGGGTAACTAATTGACCATCTATAATGTAGTGATTCAGATAGAAGAAGAAAGATTGATCCGTTCTGGTTCCTGACTCATGCACGACAGATACGAACACACTTCGCGAGGCCAAACTGGAGGAAAGTGTTCTCGGACTTGGCCAATGCCCACAAAGATTCTCGGATCGGTGAGCTTTTCTCGAATTCTTAGTATATGTCGTTGTCATCTTCACTTTCTGGATTCCTGACATGGGGGTGTTGCAGGTGTTTTCTACTGTGGATCAGCAACTCTTACAAAGCATCTCAGGGATCTATCACAAGAATTCAGCCATGACAGCGCCACTCGTTTCGATTTCCACAAGGAGAACTTCTAAAGAAGAGACCAGATGATGTTGATAGGCAATTTATTGTTGTATACGAGACGAAAAAGAAGTAATTAAGTAGTACAGTCCTGTAAAAATCTGTGTTGGTTGATGTTCCGGTGCATGGTAAAGATTAAGAACAGGTGTGAAGCAATAAGGAATGATTCACAATCCCCAACTTGATTCCAGGATGACTCAAAGCGTGTTCATTTACTCCATCATACTATATTGAAGCAATGCTATTTGGTTTATCTTTGCTTAGAGTTCCTGCTCGCTGGTCATAATCGCAACTCTTCCTGTAGAAAGTACCTTCAACTGATATTGAGTCGGTAAGAAAGTAAGAAGCCTCTCCTGCAGGCCGAATTCCTTTTGAATAGATGCCGTTCTCCCGAGCGAGTGCTCACTTTGTGTGCTTTAAGGATTGAGTACAAAAGACTGAGCTTGCGGATCATCTGCAGCATACAAAAAGTGAGAACTATGGGATCTACCAATACATTGTTAGCAGCTCTCGGGATGTGATTTACCTTCAGTTTGCCAACAACCAAAAAAAGATGTCTCAAAAAGACATCATCGAAAAAACAAGGGGATGAGGTTTAAGCCTGTACAAAACAGACATGATATCAATCTTCTTGCCCTATATACATAAATATTGAGGTTAATTATAAATTATTTATGTAACAATTATCTTTAATATTTTGATTCTTATTTTTTAAAATTATATTAAGATCTTTATACTTGAGATGGTTAAAAAGATAATTTTATAAAATTAAAAATTAAAAAAATTGATGAAATATAAGAACTCTCATTATTTATTTATTATGATGTAATCATAAATTTTTTTCTTTGGACGTAATAAGATGTTCAAATCATTTAAAAGAATCCTCTTAAGAAATTATATATTTAATCCGATGATTGGATTCTTAATGTCAACGCAAGCCGAAAGAAACTGTGGGCGAGAATCCAACATGGGTCTTGGTTCCACATATCGGATCGGGTTTCTAAAGCGTCGGATCGAATCCGAGTTATCCCGGGTCTGATCCAACTCAGATCCGTCTACATCGGCCAAGCCCGTACCGTGCCTTTGTCGATCCGCACCGAGATCGATGGTTCCTTGTTGTGGTAGCAAAGCCCGTTCGCCCATGGAAGGCAAGTGAGCAGCCCAGGGAGGAAGGGCGACAGCCATCACCACCAGTGCTCCCTCTCTCGGGGTCTCTGCCTCTGTACCGTCTCCGCCTTCTTCGGACCAGCTGCACGGTTGAGGAAAGCGACGATCAGGTGAGACGTTGCTCGTGTTTGTGTTGACCTACCGTGCCGTTTAAATTCTTGGTCTTCGATTGAATTCTTTTTCTTTCCCGAGGAATGCATCTGATTTGTGTTGTTTCTTTTCTGATCAAATCTTTGTTTGATTGGGGAAAAACGAATAAAGAAGTGATCTTGATCGCTGTGCGAGAATAGACTCAGCCCTAGTTTTTAGCGCATCGATTAGGGTTCTTCGTCTTTGACGAGCTATAAAGTAAAGACTTCGGGCAAGGAAAGCCATCTAGAAGACGATTTCCGTGGGGTTTCAAGCAATTATCTTTGTCCTTGTGAGGAGTATCATCTATTTGTGCTGTCTGCACGGGGATCGTAGGTGTGCGTGTCTAGGACCTGTGGTTTTCTCAGACATTGGTTGTAGTTGAAGTATGCGCACTTGCTTCTCGTCTCTCCTAAAGTCTACGAAGATTAGAAATCATATGAACAGTTTGCAGTGATCTTTGGTTACGGTGTCGATGTTCTTGCTGATTTCAGGCCTGGTTGAGGGTTTCAGGTTTTAGGCCACTCATTGACAAACTTGGGATCAAGAAAGGTGGCACTTTGAGGCTTTTGATGGAATGGTCATCGGTGTCTTGGGTTTTGGCACAAAAAGTATTCGATGAAATGAACATTGGAATCTGATCACCAAATTAGTGTAAGAATCTCTGAGACAGCCTCTGATATCACGAAAGATGGGGAGAATTCTATGGCCGGCTGCGTGCAATCAACCAATACCAATGGAAGGTTTGATGATATATTTGGATGCGACCTTTGTCATCTCTAAGGTGCTCGACAGAGATAAGGTGGATCGTCTACAGCTTCAACTCGTGAAGGTGGTGGAGATATGCTAACGTTTGATTTGAACAATTTATAGGATGTTATGCTTGCATATAGGATGCTTGGGTTCACGTGATCAGGATTACAATAGGGATCACATTGTGATCTAAGATCAGGATGAAGATTGGAACCAGAATCATTTTGGTCAGATATGTAGAACCAAATAGAAAGTTTTAAGTGAAAATTATCTAAAAGATCAAGATAGGAAAAAGTGTGTTGTGTGCTAGAATTTCTAGGATATATTTTTATACATGTTTATGAAATTTGATGATCCTTATGTGTGACTTACAAATGCCATGGCATTAACTTTCTCTTCTTCTCTCCACCGGTTATGGTGGCATCCTACAGCCAATTCTAGTAGGATGGTTCATTTACTTTGGGTTTGGAATGGCTTGTTGATATGATAGTGTTGGAAGATTTTGTTTAGAAAGAGGCTTTTCTCTCCTTTTTCTTTCTGTTCTCTCTCTGTTTCTGTTAATCTCACCTGGCTCTTCCTCTTTTCTCTTTTCCTCTTGCTTTTCTTCTCTCATTCTCTCTTTCTCTCAACCCTCCCTTTTCCCCTCTCTCATTTCATCCGACGCAACTCAGAACTGACTGCTGCAAGTGCCATGCTGGCAGCCATTTTTTTGCCCACTCCTTTTTATTCTTTTATTTTTCCTTCTTTTTTCTTTGTGGTCGGCTCTTCGGTCCGTTTCTGTTATGTTCTTGTTTCCCTCCATTGATCTGTTCCTCGCAGCAAAATCCGCACGGAACAGGCTGAATCTAACTCCCAGTGAATGAGAGTGGAACTGGTAGTATTTGGTAGATTGTGAACCAGTCTTGATGTGGTAATATGGAAATTGTTACTCTCTATTTTTCCAACCTCCAAAAACAGGTAATGGCTGTTTAGATGTAAGACACATGGTGGTATGTTCTTGGTCTGATTGCGTCTAATCAGCTGGTAAAAGTTTCGTTGTTCTGAAATTACCCCTAATGTGATAACTAATGGATATTGATTTGTTATATTTAGCAATGATAGTTCTATACCTCTTTTAACTTAAAAAGACCACTTCAAGACAAAGCCATATAAAACTTTTTCCTCCAATTGTTTAGCTGTTTCAATGAGGCAATGGAAGATAAGAAATAAAACAATAACCTATATTGTGATTGTGGAAGAGATTACTGCTACAGCAAACTCATATAAGAGCTTGTCCAATGCTATTAGAGCCCGAAGTATTGGTGAACAATAAACTCCAACAGTAGAAATCTGAAGTTGTTCTGTGCACGTTTAAAGCATCTGCTCGTTGCTTAGTAGTCAGAATTAGTGTTAGATAGTATTGTTCGAAAGGAGATTTCAATACATCTTTGGGAATATTCCTTCACTGTTATAGCATGATTAAGAACCACAAGTAAAACTTTTATTGATATCCTTGAACAACTCCGATCAATATAATATGGAAGTTAGTAGGGCAAGATTGTTCTATTGGTTAGTGCTCTTCTATAGGAAATCACCAGCTAGCAACAGCCCTCCAACTTTTCTTGAGACTAAGGCCTTTGTGATTTTAGAGAAACCTCATTTCTTATGATGAATGACAACTTATCTACTACGGTCTCGGGTCCTACACAACAACCTAAAGCCATTTTTTATATTTATCTATCATCTTTTTGTTTTCATAATTCTTAGGTACATTTGATATGTCATGTTCTTATGCACATTCATGCAGTATAGTTAGTGCTGTGAAAGCCACCATCATGATATTTTCCTTACTCCCATTCAGAGATGCTGACTCTTCCTTTTCGTTTAGGTTGCACTGCAGAGCGGTGCAAGATGGGGATAATAAGGAGCAGCTTCTCATTTCTACTGGGAGCTGGTTGCGGTATTTATGTTGCACAGAACTACAATGTCCCCAACGTAAAGAAGCTCATCAATACTTATATTTTCGTGGCAAAACACATAGAAGAAACCTATAGGAAGCCTAAGAAAGACGAAGACTAGTCACAAGAATTCATTAGCTGAAGTCATGCCAATAAGGCCGATTATGGTCCACATAACAATACTTTCTTTGGTGAGCACATGTACTTGTAAAAAATCGTCGTCACCTCACGCTTAGTTTCATTGGATACTGAGCGCTTCATTGCGGCTCTTCTCCTTTGAGGTTTTGTGGATGGAAGACCTTGAAACTTAAATGTAGCAGCTTATTTTGTGTGGATGAAAGATTTGTATGTTTGCAGCTCTCCGGGCCGGTTTATGTGGATGAATCTGTTGAAAGATAATAACCACTTGCAACTCAAGAGAGCTCATATAACATTCCAATTTATTTTCACAGGAGTCTACAATCATTTTAACTTGGATGAGATTTCAGTCTCTTGGGTCAATGATTCATGATCAATAAAATTATTTGATTAGTTATCTTGTTACGGAAAGTGGACTTCCCTATCTTGAATCTGAATCAGTGATACAGACTCAATAAGCTTATGGGGTCAATCAAGTATCTTGAATTTGAATCAGTGATACAGACTCAATAAGCTTATGGGGTCAATTATCTCATCGAATTGAATCATATCGTGGCATAATGTCACAGTTAGTTCAATCTAACTTGAAAAGGACCAAAAACAACCAATAATGTAACACATTATCAAACTGTAAACATAAACTTGGACTAATAGAGAAATCTACCTCCAACATAACACCAGGCATTCATATGTATTCTCGAACCAACTTCTCAGAAGAAGAGGCAGCACAGAATCCATCAAACAAGTATAGGAAAATTCATCACCCTTGGGATAGAACATCTGCATTTTAAATGGTAATTGCAACAATTTAGTTGGATAGAAAAATCCATCAAACTTCCCTCCAACTTTCCAGACAAAATTTACAGCCAAAAAAAGTCATGTTTAGTAGCTGCATTTTACCATGGTCACAATATAAGAATCAGAATTTGTGGGTGTAGTATACAAATTTTGACCAGTATCAATAAATGGCATGGCACAAAATGTGTGCTATGTAAAGCAACATGAATCATGGCAGTGGCATGGCAGACACTATATAAATTTTATTTCTATCCATTGCTTGTATCTGATTTTTGCCAACTCAGATCTCCTAAAAGACTACATCTCAACTCCACTGGAATAGTCTGACTCACCAACCATGCATCAAAGTAAGCATACCTTGCACCTTGCAAGTAATACCAACTAACTACTTTGTGGTAAACCAGCTAAAAGATGTAAAATTTGAACAAAGCATTTATAAAGAATGAGAACTCACTTGATGGAACATTATCAAAACATGGTAAAAAAAAAGGATTAAGAGGAATATTATCACAGATGAACAATTACTACACCAAAACCGTAACAATGAAATTTTTGTAGCGGAACCTAATGAATGAATTAAAATAAAGAATTTGTTGTGCCACGTAAAGATGAGTTTTCCATCAACTCTGTACAGTTCACAACTTTCTGTGTTTGATGGTAACATGTATCTATTCACGAGCAATCCAGCGGTGAAATTATAATAATTTTCTGCAATAAATCTTGTTGGCTCTTCAAATGATTTTATTAGTTTTTACATTGACCAATCCTCTGCATGATAGTACGAGAAGCATCAAGGCCATAATAGGATGTCAATATATTCAAAGCTGCAGGTGGATAACTTTTGCATCTTTTTTATGACAATTATTTAATATCCTTGTACTAAATAATAAAATTGATGTTTTATAAGTATATCAAATTACAATAATGAATTATTTACCATTGATTTTTTATTTTTCTACTATACTATTTTTATCTTCTTTATTATAGTTTCAATGTAATTTTTTAGAAGTTAGATATCTTACAGAACACTAAGGTATAAGAGTTTTTAGTATATAATATTTTATTTCCTCAAATTGCACTTTATTTTTTATTTTGTGCTCATTTTATGACTTCTTATATTTCTTAAATTTTAGATTGTTTCCCTGGCAATTCTGATCCCGCCAATCCTCCAATTAATCTTGCCAATTTCGATTGTATCATCTCTAGATGATTTTGGTCCTGACACATATTTGATGAGCTCTCCCTAAGACTATTAAACAAGACAGCTATGAATTCACAACAAGCTCATGCTAACCAATTCAAATCAAACTTCCAGTGCCTCTAGATTCTTTTTTGGTCATTGTCACACAAAAAAATCATTTGTGAGATATATGTTTCAACTTAATAACATACTTAAAGAGGTAGAATAATGCTAATAGTATTTCTAAGATCTCCAGGCATGCAGTCAGAAAAAAAAAAACAAAAATAAAAAAGAATGTTTTAAATATCTCCAACAACATTAAAATAGACACATTTCTAGACACCTTTCCTTTCTCCTAAGGTATATATGAAAATGAAAAGATTGTTTAATGATGGCAAAGTATTTGTCCCATTTCATACCTATCCTAAACTTGTAGTTAATCTTCTAAAATGATGCTACCCTGGCATATTGGTATTCCCTTTCTGGGAAGGCTCATCTGATCTATGGAAAGTATAATGTCGCAACATATTAGAAAATGAACCACAATCCTCTTCTCTGTCTCGTTTACTGAAGGTACCCCAATTAAGAAAAAAGTTAGCATATGCTTTAAAAATGCAAACTCCTGATTTTATCTGATCCGCTACAACCTAAAAATCACTGTACAAGAAAGATAACCTGCTAAAGTTTCTGAGTTCCTAGAGCCCTCTCATGAGCTCTCTTATACTTATTGACATGTAATAATCTGCTCACAACACTAATTGTGTCTGACTACATATTTGGCTAGTGATATCTATAAATACCTATGTCTTCTCTTGACAATCCAGGAATGCAGAATTGCAATGCAATTGGGAACATGGTCTGTTATACCTAATCCATATGATAACCAGCTGAATTCATATAATGGCACACTTTATGTCCAACCCTACATTTTTTGTCTAAGCAATTTGTATGAATCTCCATTTTTCTCCTTGCCAATTCAGGCAAAACCTAATCATGTGATCAGTGTATGCAAGAGTTCGTCTCAGTAGTCCACAATGCTTCACATCTTATCTGCAGATATTTCGTAGCCACCAAGATAGGAGAGAACACTATGAAAACTTAGATTCATAAGGAAAAATAAGATAAGCAGAGCAATGGATGGAGCATCCAAGATTCTAATGGACCATAGAAAAGTACAAGAACTGCTAAGCTTTTTCACTCTATAGAATAACATTACTAAATAAGAATAGAGACCACACCAGGAAGCAAACATACAAATGAATCTGCAGAGTTTCAGAGCTCGAACTCTTCCTCGCGCAGCACCATTTCCGCAGCCTCTTCCTCTTCGTCATCAAGCACGAAGTACTGATTCTTCTCCACTGGCTTAAACATATAAAACATGAAGATATAGAAGGCAAGGCTCGCTGTCTCTTCAGCCGCCACACTGACCCATCGGTACTTGTAAGATGCAATCGTCTTTAGCGCATAAACCACAATCCTCGTGAAGTACAGATACCCGATCACCACAATGTAGAACTGGCGGAAAAGAGAGAGCTTGGCGAGGTTCCTGGCAGCCTTTCCATCGGTCTTTGAGGTCTCACGGAGAGATCTAATTGACCAGATGATAGGGAACAAAATGGCGCAGCAGCAGATGACATCGATGAGGAGGAAGACCTGATTCCAGGTGACCCAGTCCCGGATGAAGGGCCCGGTCTCTCCAATCACGACTGACGCGATGTTGGCGATGACCTGAAGAGGGATCACGATCATTAGCACCTTCTTCTCTCGCTCCTGGAGGAAGGGCTTGAGGAAGGACCAGCCAGTGCCGATGAGGACGATGACGGTAAACAAGAGGACGCCTTTTAGGAACTGGAAGAGGTAGAAGAGGACGTCCCACCCGTGGGGGGTGCCGGTCTGGCGAATGTAGTGCTGGTCCTCAGCAGCGAAGACAAGGTTGAGGGCCTTGGTGAGGAGAAGGCCGGCCATGAGGTGGTGGATCCGGTGTGCGGCGAGGCGGTTCTTGAAGAGGGTGAGGTAGATCCAGACGGCAAAGAAGGCGATGTAAGCGGCGGCGAAGAAGGTGTAGAGGGAAGGAACGGGGGACTGGCCGACGGAGAGGAAGTCGCGGGAGCCATCAGGGCGGGCGTTGTACATCTCCGTGAAGACGGACATGGAGACCGCGGTCTCGGGGGCACAATTGGCGAAGAAGAGACTGTACTCGTCCGGGAGGGAGACGGGGAAGGAGCGATTCAAAGCGACGGAGGAACCCGGGGAAAGCTCGGCAAAGGTGAATAGGAGGCGGACGTAGGTGCTATGAAGCACGCATCCCAGGTTGGGTCCGGGGTTAGGGTTAGGGTTCGAGCGGTGATCATGCTGGGAATCGTAGGCCGCCTGGATGAGGCTCTCGTCGGAGAGGAAGAAGAAGCCGAGGAGGGCGGGGTCGGGGGTGCCGAGGGCGGAGGAGACGGAGACATCGGAGACGGCGATGGTCACCTCTCCGCGAGGGGTGAAGCCGAACTTCTCGAAGAGGATGGTCGCCCGGGAGTCGGAGGAGATCTTGAGGTTCTTGATCTCCGCCAGGGACGAAGAGATCGAAGCGAGAACGACGAGAAGGAGCGGGAGAAGATGAATCCGTAGTGGCCTCGCCATGGAGATCAAGACTACACCTTCGCGACCGCGTCGGCGAGAGAGAGAGACTTATCGATTGAGTGGAGACCAGCGAAGACTGCGAGATGAAGTCGGTGGGCGAAGGCGCGGCCTATAGTCTTCGCTCTTGAGCTGGTCCGGCAAGTGGTCCTACGCTAATCTACAACCGTCAGACAGACTTTAAGATTGATGACAGTTGCCGAGGGTAAAGCTTTACGTGGAGATCGGGCGAAGGAATAAAGTTTTGGGGCAACGGAGACTTCATCGCAAAGCAGTCAATAGCCAGTTATTATGCACTTGAGGAATAACGTAAGAAAACAAATGATGTGTATATGGCTTCAAATTTAAGAAGCATAGATTTAAATTGATTAAGGGAAAGGTAAAAGACGCCTAAACACCTTAACTATATTATTTAATTCACAGATACGGTACCAAATTGGATCAGATATATGAAGTAATAGACCTCACGAGAGCAACGTGGGAGCTGAAACACCAGCCAAGACGCCCTGCTGAAGCCTTATTTTTTCAGCACAACCAGGGCTAAATATGCTACTTCAAGATGGTGTCTTCCACACATCCTAAGCGAGACAGATCATGACCAACCCAATTTGACTATGAATAGTCAACTATCTC